TGCAATTTTTTCCATCCTCAAATTACATCCTCCCTCTGGCGTCAAAAGACTCCCTCTATCGCCCTGCCACCAACTATCTAGATTCATTATTTGAGAACTAAGCCTGAAATGGAAACACACAGAGACTGATCCATGTGAGCTGGAGAAGGAACCCATTTTCCTCTTACATAGATCAGCTCTATTGTCCTGTAGAGACAGGTTAATATAGCGGTAATTGTATACAAACATTTTCTAGAAGAATAAGACTGGGAAATCAGACGGGTTACTGGCTATCTTAACTCAGGATTTTCGTGATTTTCATTGGTGTTTTCCACGGTTATAATTTGTTCTGCCTTTTTTAAGGGATTGAAGCTTGGGCTCTTAATCTATGGAAGAAGAGAGAGACGGTGTTTAAGAACAGGGAGCAGAAAATATGCGCAACCAAGGGCGCAAGAAACAGGAAGATAGAAAACCTACTGCATAATGAGGGGCTTCATAATTTTCACAAATTATGAGGAGTTTTTTGCAAAGTAAAAAAGAAGGCCTTGTGTGGATGCTAAGTCCCTTTGTCTGTCTGTCTGTCCTTCCCAGTGCTCTGTGAAAATGGTCTGTAATTTTTAAATTCTCAAAAGAGATCCTGCATATTCAAAGGCAAAACTGATCCTGGTACCAAATGCTTCGACTTCTCCCCTTCCAGACACGCATAAAACTTCTTAGAAGGGCGAGTCCCACGGGTTAAGAACTAACGTTGTATATTGTAAAACAAAATATGACAGTTATGTAAACGCTACAGGATATTGTTACTAATAATCCTTTATTTGTTCAGTTAAATATGGACAAGAGATGTTGCCTCAAAACTTACAACGCCTATTATTGAAACAAATACTTATACTGGAAATCTCAGTAGGCATAGTATTAAAAGGGGACAAAGTGTTAATAAATCAACCCTGAGCAGTCGGAATTAGTCCTCTTATTTGTGTTTGGCTTTACGTCCAGCTGCAAGCAAGGATTGGTTCTGTTTGCTTTTGCGATTTAAAGGAATTCCACGTCTTGCGGTCTTGATCCTACAGAATGTTCAAGAACCGTCCGACGTCCTCTCCAATCCGCTATGCTCCCTACGCGATATCTGGGGAATAGGTATAAACACGGCCAAGACGTCGGGTGTTACAAGTGGAAAACGCCAGTTTCTCAGTGAGCGAGCAGTCGCTCTGAACGCCACTCATCCATCGCAATTAACCACTATTTACAATAATGACACTAAAACACTTAAAGTGTATCACTGTACAGACGCTGTATTACTTAACCGGTTTCTGACTGCTGTTGTCCTATACGAAAGAGAGACATTGCACGAACCGCGCTTTTGAGAATTCCCCATTTTGCTGGCCAAGTGGAGGCCGGAATTCTTTACCACCTGTTCAGCCCTTCATTATATTCACACCATAGACATCTTGAATTGTCATGTTCTTATATTATTTTGGACTCCCGGAACGCTGCGCTCTTTTCTCTCTTCATGCTTTCTTCATTCCTTTCTCCTTTCTTTTCCTTTCAGACTCTTAGCCATCTCCCAGCCTAAAACAATTCAAATGAAAGTTCTAGAAGCTATTAAAACTAAATTTGTAATTAGAGGTACTGTTTCGGGGACGATCGACGCCGCATATTAAGAGGTTTCAAAAAATGTAACAATTGAATACGTCAATATTGATTATATCTCGATGATGAGAGGAGAAGTGACCCGCTCCGGCCGCTTTATTCACGAGGAAAGTGTCTCTCTTCCATATCCATTGCCTAGGAAGCTTGAAAGTTCACCGATTCGTTCTGCAGTTTGTGACATAGAATAGTATTCGAAAGCTCTTAGGTGTCACTTTGCGTTCCGCTTTTATGCGGTCTATGTGCAACGTCGGTTAATATTCTCTCGTCTGCTCTGTATTGTCACTACATGTTTCGGCAGAAACGGACATCATCAGGTGCACATTTTGTGATGATGAAGGATTATGATGCTCATTGAAATGCTGTTCTGTTTTTCTTACGCAGTTGCTCCGGACTAATTCTAGGTTATGTTTGTTAACCAGCTGTTGCTATGCACGTGTTTCCCTTATGGCTTTGTTGGTTTGTTGCCTAAGGCTGTCCTCTGGTGGGGCAGAAATTCATTGTATAGCTATCACGGTCTTTCGTTGTAAGTCTTAGATGTATTTGTCCAATATAGTGATTCGGCTCTTACAACACACATTCCATTGCAAATGGTATATATAAACGTTTCACGTTCCCCTATTCCTGCAATATATTCCCCATAAAAAGTTTTTAGCCTATTTCTCTTATTTCGAAACAAGAAGCTCTGCACAGAACTAATCGCCTACTTTCATTTAATACTACATGGGCCGCATAGCAAACAACGTCTCCAGTAATTCTTAGTTGCAATAAAAGGAGGGGCACACATACAGACACACAGACCGATGAAAAGTATTTATGAAATACTCCGTTGAGATGGGCTCAGGTGTCACGAAATACGTACAAAGTTTCATAAAGACTGTTTCAGACTTTCAAAAGTTGATGGGGGAAGGGATTCACAGATATAAAGACAGCATGGAGATCGCATAAGCCTACTTTCATTTCTTTCAAGATAAGAAAAGTAGGCTTATAAGATACCATGCTGTCTGTGTGTCTGTGAATCCCTCTCTATAAACTTTTGAATGCCTGTACATCATGGCATCCGAGTCCATCTCAACAGTGTACTTCATAAATCCCTCTCATCAGTCTGTGTGTCTGTACGCGTATCTTCCTCCTGTTGATAGGCAACGGCTTGGTGAAAATTATCGCGGGAACGAGTACACACGCAACAATGGGAGAATTGTTAGACACTTTGTTTTCTATGCGGCCCGTGTCGTATCAAGGAAAGTAGGTGATTTATTCTTCCCAGAATTTCTTGTTATTAACCTACTTTCCTTGTTTTGAAAAAATAAGACAAAAGTAGGCTTATGACTTCACCATGCTCTCTGTATGTCTGTGTATCTAATCCCCACCAGTCTTTATGAAACTTGCTATGTATATCATGGCACTTGAACCTATCTCAACTTTTTTTTTTCAAATTCGCTTATTAGGGGTGGAGTCCCACTGGGTCCACTCGGCACGGCGGCCACTGATTGGCCTATTGTAGCCTGCCCCGGGTGATTATGAAGATGGAAAATTTGGTGGAATGAAGATTGGCAGGGGAAACCAAATTACCCGGAGAAAACCCGCCCAAGCGCCACTTTGTCCACCACAAATACCACTTGACCAGATCCGGGTTCGAACCCGCGCTGCCGCAGTGGGAAGCCAGCGACTAACCGCTTGAGCTATGGCGCGGCCGTCTCAACGGCTTACCTCATAAATCCCTTCCAACAGTCTGCATGTCTGTGTGTGTGCATCCCTCTATCGTTGCCAGGCAACGGCTTGGTAAAAACGATATCGCTGGAACGAATACACACGCAACAAGGGAATAATTGTTGGGTACGTCGTTTTCTATGCGTTCCGTGTATAATCAAGGAAAGTAGGCTATTTTCCCAAATGTAGGCTTGTCCCGCTTGGGAATTAGGGTCAGATGCCTACCCCTTAAAATTGGAGGACCTGCAAAACAAGGTTCTGCGCACCACTCGAAATTTTCGAAGGTGCACACCGATCCGCGATTTACACACAGCTTTTAATATTCCATATGTATACAAAGTTGTGCAGGAAACAAGGAGAAGTCATACGGAATCATGAGAATGAACATGTTCGCGGTATAGGACAAAGCGAAGCCAGACGTAGATAAGAGGCTTAAACTTGGCGGTGGTCAAGCTTAAGGCCGTTCAAGTGACTCAGCTGCCGTTGTAGCATAAAGTGAGATAGACATGATCTGCTTTGCAAGGCTCGTACTGGCAAAGAACTTGTGTGGAGTGCAAAAGTAAGAGATTCTCAATAGCACGCTATATGTGCGAAATATACATTTGACGAAAGGCCAAGCATATTCATAAGAGACAAACCCTTCTTCTCGTCAGAGAGTATGTTACATAAGGAAAATTACNGTTCTGTTGGGGGGGGGGGATCTGTGGACGTGGTTCTCAAGGGGCTTGACGCCAAGACAAATTGATTCGCGGTAAACCGTCAATCATAAAGTAACGTTGACTTTGTGTTCTTCCCAGATCTTCTTGCTTTAAGTATGTCAAAGGAGGACTACAGCAAGAAACCGATTTGGAGATCTAGGCATGGGAGAAGGGATATATTGAACGTATCTTGATTAAACTTGCTTATGATGGAGTCCAGTGTTGGATTCTTGCAAGCATGGTAATAAGCTTTAGACGACGGGAAATTTGTTGATTAGTTGAGTGACAATCATTTTCTCAAGAGGGACTTTGATCCGTAGAACAACGCTATATTAATATTAGAGTTAATTTTACCGACCACACAACACGTTTTTATTTACTGTCACACTACATGTTTCGACCTCAAGAGGTCATCCTCAGGTGTACGAACACAGTTGCACAATCACACGCAATCACATTCGTTTTTCCACTTATTTTGATCCTGTATCCTGTTCAGGTCCACGCTCAATAATATGTGTCAAGTTCTTCTTATAAAATATAAGTTAAAAATACAAATGTTAAAAGTTAAAATTTAAAATTTAGTTCACTGTAACTAGTTATATTATTACCACTTGGTTAAAAAGTTCATGAATTAAACTTCAACTCATCACATTGACTGCACTTTCACTTTTGAAGGTCTTGTTCTTCCGCGTCCTCTGATGTTGGATCTATTTTGCTAAGATTAAAAATTACGAACACTAATTTTATTGCCGTTATTCCATTTCTACTGACATTATCACAAGATATGTTTAATGCGTACGACATTAATTCAGTAAACACTCAATTGGCTGTAAAGTCTTCCGTGATGTTTTCACTTAAAATATATCATTATATTGTAATTTTTCTTTCGTAATATACTACCTTGCTGGGTGCTTGCTCGCATGTCCCTTTCCGAACAGCAACTTTAAATAATTTATTCTGTTACAGTGCCATGTCCAGAGGATGCGCACCTGTTCTGCCGCTCCTGCTTTCTACCGGCATTCTGTTGTACCTCATTTCGATGGTAGATGCAGTTCCCGGACCTCTTGACTGCAGGTCAGTTCGTTAAATTCTTCGTCTTGGTGATAAAACCTGATATGAGCCCTCGTTTCTATTGTAAAGTCCTTACTGTAAGGCAACCCGTAGGGCTTCTGGAGTGGAGGATCGGACAAACAGCGCCGCTGCCACGAGTTCAGTAGGGCATCCTTGGTTCTTGGTCTACAGTCCACGTGAGAATTCGCCACATCTGCTGTACGAGTAGATGTTGTCTTGTGGAACTCGAAGTTTCATGACCGCGTTCGCAAAACTCTCCCTCGTGATCGCATTCTGAGACAATTTAATTCGGTAAAGAACACAAACCATATCTCTCTACAATCGATTTTAATATTATATTTATGCATCCTGTTGCATTAATATATCTTTTATTTCAAATAATTTCCGTCTGCAATGCAACTTAATATTGTCCCCTTTCCTTCTCTTAAGATGTTTCTGCCGTGCACGGCTGTCATCAGGTGTCTCTAATTCGCTAAAATTGTTGCGCTGTATGGTATGCCTATTTATTTATTCATTTTCCCCTTCCGCCCGTGTTTTTCAAGTAATATTTTCCCCTGAGTTCTAGGATTAAATAGCTCCATTCAACAAACGTTAATTTCCTCCAGTATATTGCAAATTTGTGCTTTAACCATACATACCTGTAAAACAGCTACGACCCCAAAATAGAAACAAAATAATCACGAAATATAAAACGAAGGACTGTAGGAAATCTGACATTCCCGAAGTCAAATGCACAAAGAGAACACTTGGGATTACGGGCATGCGCGTTAAGTGGTAGATAGAACTGGAATGTGCAAGGGCATAGCCAACTGAAATGTCAGTCAAATAATATTCGTAATTAAAAACAAATATTTAGGTCCTGTATTGCCTGTAGGAGTTGTGAAGAGCGATTATACGTAAAACATGTATATTTAAATTATTGGAGAGGTTAGCTGTAGAATCCTGGATGAAGATAAAAAACAAAACCAAATTTGCGGGTCCCCGAGTAGGATACAATGAAAAGGTACAGGTCCGCGCATTCTTAATTTCGCCATTTGATGGAGGCGAATGGCAAACGTCATACTGCGTCATACTCCGGCCGCCTTACCGGAGACCACCTCCTGCGCATTCAAAGTTTAGTTGACGTCACAGGCTGTCTGGACGTGGTGGCGGCCAGGACATAATCCCTGTTACGTCAGGAACCGAAATTGGTCATACAGACCGTAGTTAGTCCTAGAACTCTGGATAATGGTAGGCCTAGTTTTCCGTTTTTAAGAATTTATTGTATTAGGATACTTAGTCTATGTTTCACTTAAATTATAAGATATTTACTACATGGGCCCTTCTTGAGAATCCGCCAGTTGTAGAGCTATTCAAGAATTTCTCAATATTTTATGGAGCCCGAAGGTTCATTACAGTGTTTACAAGAGCCCTCTACTGGTCTCTATCCTGAGCCAGACCAATCTAGACTGTACCACCCCATCTAAGATATATCTAAGATATATTTTAATATTATCCACCCATCAAAGTCTTTGTCTTCCTAGTGGCTTCTTTCCTTCTCGCTTTCTCGCCAAAATCCTATATGCATTCCTATTCTTCCCAAATTGCCCTAGTAAATTATATTAAATCAAAACTACTCGTACACAGGTAATCGTCGTGTCATTTTACAGTACTGTTGGCTATTGCAAAGATGGACATAGGCATGTAATAATAATAATCATTAACCTTGTTTCATTCCGTTACATTCTCTCGTCACAGCCATTCTATGTGCAATACATTACCTGCGTACGTATGTGAGAAGTGATTTAATTCGAGTAATGTCTTTCCCCTTCCTCATATTTCTAGCCCTGTCATCCTGGTTTCTTGCGTCGTCTTGTGTGTTTAATTCCAACGCGTTTACAAGGTACTGTTTTAGTTATGTGGCCTCAGAATTACATACATTGTGCCTTATGATTATCTTAAAACTTTATCTTTTAATTATTATTTGCAGCTTTCATCTTGTTAGTGAAGCTTTTGTGGCGACGGTGTTTACTTTATTAATTTGTGGTTTATTTCACGGCGCTGTCCGTAACCAGGACAATTTAGTGTCGAATGATACGATGATTAATGAACGATGAATTGAAAATGATGTGAAAGTAATAAGTGATGCACTAAATTAAGATGATGTGCCGGTATTATTATGGAAGAGCTGAAGAAAGGAAAGGAAAACCTCAGTCGGTTTAGCTGGTTTCCATCCTGAGGCTACAGATGTGCTTTACTGTTTCGCTCTAAGTGCAAGCATACATTCTGATAAGGTAATTCAGTAGGATTCAGTAGGCTACGTTTATAGAATCGTAAAGCCGCAACAAAACATGCACGTTCCCTTCACGCGCCTCATATCGCAGAGTTATTCCCGTTATTTTCTACGTAATGTATTTCCTCAGTCCTTCACTAAGAAATATAAAGTATGAAGTTCAAAAGAAACATGACAGAACCTTCTCCAATTTTCAGTTAATTATTTCATCTTTATCGATTCGAACATTGGCCTGTTCTATTGTAGGTTTTCTATAAATCCTTATTAAGACGAAAGTTACATCTCCTTAGAAGCAGGATTCTACCATCAGTTCAGCTGTTTCTTCTTGGTATTACACACTGATTTGAGACTTGGTTTCTTCTACTGAAGAGGCATTTCTAAGCCTACATGAAGACATCCTTCAGTACTGCTTGGATGCAGGATAGGGCCATCACAAGAACTCTTCCAGAAGAAGACAACACAGAAAAATAGGGCATCCTTCCATTCACCGAGCGATATTGGATTCGAACCCAGATTCCAGTGTTCCAGCAGCCTTTGACAGCACTGCGATGAAGATCGGCAAATATTTCCACAAAATGCTTCTATTAATATTAAAATTCTATGAAATGGATGTTTCTGAAACGTGTGAGATGGCCTACAGGAATAGGGACCTGTAACGATCTCTTCAACTTGAAGTTTCTGTTTTCGTTAACCTATAATGAGTGCTACTTGTGTTCATAGCGATGTGTTCTCATAACGGTGTTGAAAGTTCAGTAATTTCTTGGAGTAGTTGTTCTTTAGTCGACGTAAGCTTTTAATTAAATTTGAGGCATAAGCTTTACATTCATTGCTACTGAGACCCCAGATAGTCCTTGGAAATCTTGTAACCTGTTTGACTTGGAGATCCTTCCGTTACATCATCACATATATTACCAGAAAGTTGGGTAAAATAGATTAGGTTGACAGTGGGGAAAACTTCCATGACTCTTCTTCAATACATTACGTATGTTCAGAGTACTTGACCTCGTCAAGCGATACTTCTCGACGGTTTAATATTGCCTACAATTTTGATGTCACAAATATTTAAAAGTGGGAATTATCGAATAGGCATGGCATGGGTTATATATAAAATATTTTATAAACAAACATACGTGTATATGGAAAATATATTTGGAACCAGAAGCGAGAAAGTAACAGAATAATGGAGAGAACTTCATAACGAGGAGCTTCAAGATTAGTACTTTTCACCATATATCATTACAATAGGGTAATGGAATCAAGAAAAATAAGATAAGTGGAGCGTGTAGAAGGCAGAGGGAGATGAGAAATATATACAGAATTTTAGTTGAAACCTCTTAAGGGGAAAGAAATCTCGGGAGATTTACTCGTACATATGAGATAATATTAAAGAAGATCTTAAGTACACATGATGCGAGGTTCTGGATTTGATTGATCTGTCTTCGGATAGAGCCCCATACCTGGTTATTTTGAAGACTGTAATAATTTTCTGGTAAAAAAAAAGGAAGGAAATTTCGTGATTATCAAAATGACTATTAGTTTCTCAAGAAAAATTCCTCTCCATGAAGTTTGATAAATGTGAAAAAGAAAACATAATATTTCAATATGAAAACTTGTATATTGCTAAGAATATTTTCTTATTGTGCACTGAGACGGAAGTCGATCGGCAATAGACTAAAATTTCACGGAACAAATTAAAAGCAGTGGAGTAAAATTTTGTTTTGTCCATGAAAAGAAAGAGAAAACAAATACGGAATGAATAAATAGTTGAAAAGAACAACAACTGTGCAATATCTGCATACCTTCATCTTTTAAGTCATAAGACAAACTGTCACACAAACGTACACTGAAAACCCCGTTTGTTTAGTAGTTCATATAACACACACTACAACTGCTGAAAACGGTCAACATCAGGTGATGTACACAAATCGGCCAAATGTAATATATACTTTATCTAGATAAAATAAGAATGCATTAAGTTGGACCCGACTTCAGTTTACAAAGATATACGTATAAAAATGATAATACTGTTACAAATATAAATATTCTCTAATGTATGAATTTATATATTTACAACTTTCAAAGTATGCATCCCGCTGTATGTCTTAACGTACTTTCAAGAGTAACTATAAGACAAAATAGGTACTATCGTATAAACATATTTGTGCAGTTCTTATTGAAACATGTTAGAATTTCTTTTGTCTTCCTCAGGCAATACGGCCTTAAGTTATTGGTTGTGTATTGCCCAATGATGACCTAATAGGAAAAGTCGAAAAATGTCGCAATAAGAACTGCACAAATAAACAAAATATTGATATGATAGTATCTATTTTGTCTTGTTGAGTATTATTGTTATGGTTGTGTTGACTGCCCCATTTGAAAGTACGTTATATATTTACAGTTTAGTTCGATTTTTTAAATCTAATTTAGTTCTTCACGCTTTCATTTTCCCCATTTAGCCTTCGTGTCTGCTCCAAGCTAAATTATAACTTTAAGTTGTACTTTAGTTTATATTCTGCTTTGGGTATTCTGAATACCTTTTTTTAACTATTTTCTCTTGGCGAATACCCGGAGTTTACCCGAAAAATGATGCAGGTGTAACAAGATTTAGAAACTTTGTACATTCAGACTAATACCGGAGCTAGGAATAGATTTATTTTGCTTACTGTTGTGATGTAATATGTGCCTTTGAAGACAAAGGCCAGTTTTGTAAGTTTTGAGGTTTTCACGGCGATGACAATGAAGAAAGTTGTCTTCTGGGTTTAGGCACCGTGTATTCTTCTTTTTGGCCAAAACGAAGAATACACGGTGCCTAAACCCAGAAGACAACTTTCTTCAAAGACCAGTTTGTTGACATAATATTGTGTGATTTGAAGACTTGTCTGCAAATAGCATTTTTATACTGCACAGAGTTAAATAAATGTTATATTTGATTAACATTGCAGTTAAGGGTAAATTTTACTTACTGCTGCTGCTGTAAATGTGTGATTTTCAAGCCAAGGATTGTCATGTTGACGCAGTGTGATGCGTGTGCTTGAAGGCAGTATTTCTGTAGTATAGCTGGAGTATCACTAACAGACAGATTTAACATGATAACCATCCAAATCACGTACTTTGTCTACTTATCTACCTATGGCTCTACAGTCCTTTATTGGACCTTGGTCTCGATTTCAGTTTCTTAATCCTGTACACAGTCAGTAGGACTCCTTGGACGGGGGTCAGCCCGTTGCTAGGCCGCTACTTACATACAGCACAACACAAACACAGAATAAACGCACACAGACATCCATGTCTCGAGTGGAATTCGAACCCACGATCCTAGCGTTCGAGCGAGGCCTAGACCCCTTAGACAGCACGGCCACTGTGATCGGTAATTACGTACTTTCTGATAGTAAAAATCCTAAATGTGACGTCATTATAAACCTGCCAGACAACAGCCCCATCTAGGTGAATCACTTTTCGTATTACGAAAGTAAACACAAACAGAACGCAGTGTTATAAAAAACTACCTTCGTCTACTGGGATATTTCCAATTATTTTCCTTTAAAAATATTTCAAATGTTCATTTTATGTTCAAAGTAGCCACTTCAGATGTTCTTTCAGCGGGAGAATTTACCTACAAATCTTACATACATACAAGCACACAACTTTAAGTTTTGCAGTGCATGTGTATATAGACATCTATATGTACTGTACATTGTAAATATTAAAAACGTGTTTGTTATTATGAGAAAACTTACTCTCTTTGCAGGCGATTCGTTTTCGCGCCCAAATGCAGAGGAGTGGCCGCGAAGAGGGGATTCCCGCCAGCAAATCGAGCAGGTTACCTTCTTGATACAGACAGGTAAGGTATTTAACATCTTTAACGGATATTAATATTTTTTTTTGCGTTTAATCATCAGAAATTAATGATGGACATTCTATTTACTAAACTGCAATTTTTTTTTTACATTTGCACCTATCTTAATATGCATCCGATACTGAACAAATATTTTTGGCATATTCCCAATTAAAAGTTTATAAAATTCGTCTACTAGCTGAGTCATATATTACTAAATTGTTGACCGATTTGCACGAAATATTGTATGAACGATGATATTGGAGACCATCCAAACCTCAAACATTCTAATTTCTTACAGTCTGTAACAAACGCATAGCGGACGCACGAACTTGTGAGGGCGGACAGCACAAGTGCCACGTAATTGTACAAGATCCTGAACTGGCACATAACAGTTTTCGAAAAAAATACTTCTGTAAAATTTGGTATTTTTATAGCATTAAAATATATGTCTCCAGCATGAAAATAGTAATGCTTAACATATTTCAAATTAAAAGCAATAAAGTTTTTTACTCGTGTAGGATTCATTTATCGTTCAATTACATTTATATTACCGAAATGTAAGAGTAAGAACACAAGAGCTGCAGGAGTGGAATTGCTTTCAGTGCACCTTATAACTTGGAATTCCTTGTTCAATTTAAATACTATGACAATTATTTTCTTTGCCAATAAATTTATTACACTCTATAAGTACAGATTTTGTCAGTGTTCGAATGTGCGCTCAAACGAAAAAACCTAACTCGAAGTGATAAATCGTATTTCTCTGACCTGTGAATGTCAGATATACAGTGACGGCAAGAACAGTTGGAAGTTTAGAATAAAGAAAATCCAGAGAGTTTAATTTAACAGAGTATGATCAATCAAAATACGTTTTCAACTCATATAAATCTTTGTGTTTCTTAAGGCTCTCCAGAACAAGGCATTGGCTCTTCCTTTCGAAGAACTAAGAGATGCAGCATTTAAAGTGATAAAACGAAACCGAAAATACTCATATTTAAGTACGATTGGTAATAGCAAAACTTTGACATTTGTACTTTTAGTGATTCAAATACAATGACATCTTTCTGAAATTTCTCTCAGGGATTAGACCTCGACTTTAAACCCAGAATCAATACAGACTGCAGTCGCTTTTATAGAAGGCTACAAGTCCTATCACAAAAAAAAAAAATCATTTATGGACACTAGCTTTTCCATCAGAATCCAAATGCCTAACTTCTGATGGGGGCGCAATTTTACCCCAAATGGACAATCTTATTCGTCCCTCGGGTTACAATTACGGCTCCTAACGAGGTGACACAGCGTAATGGCAAAAATCGGAAGCATTCGGGCTTCTATGTCCCATTTCAATAATTCTTTACCTTCCGCGAACGTTCATGGCAGGTAGGACGTGTCTGCTTTTCCATCCCCGTGTTTCACTTGTCAACTATCTGGCGTATTTGGATTGAATTTCATGTAAGATATTTATGGCAGTTAGGAACTGATTTATCCAAATGTACTTTTTTAATTTGACGATTTACAGCACGACGTCCATCAAAATAACGTTTAAAAATGTGCTCTACCTACAAGAAAACACACTTCATTTCCGTTACAAATATCAGTCTGTTAATGTGTTAATGTTTAAAAACCAACTGGTGTACTACCGCCACCACCACGAATTCACAGACATGTCGTGGGAAGGTACTTTCTCCATCTTCACGGTCAAAGCGTAAAACATGCAAATAATCAGCAAGAAGAAGGCAGCAAGCAGAATACTGAATTTTCACCGAAACGTCGGCAAATTTCTCCGGACTGCACGACATCACATCCCAGAAAATAATACTTTAGCTGGCAGAGGATGTCGCGTGGTCAGCGCAACGAATCACCACGGCCGTTAATTTCGATTTTCTAGACCGGAGCCTCCATTTCCTTGAAACAGCTCATCAATTATGCTCACCATAACACTTCAGAACTATGAACAATCATTACACCACATAAAATAAAGACATCACTTATGACTTCTGCCGTATTCTATCTTCTTCTGGTCAGTTCTCTTCCTGAGGTAGGTTCTGGTGGAACCGTATGGAGATCACCTCCTTCAACAATAGAGTTATCGCTTTCTTCTCTGTTACTGTGCTTTGGAGGTTCATTGCCGTGTGAATGGAAACGCTTCTGTATGTGTTGCCTAGGAATCGACGTGACTCTGTATGCAATGCAGTGCTTCTTCAGTCGTATTCGTTGCTGTGGAAACATGAATACCGAGCTGTTGTCGCCACTATTGCGGCTTTCAGGCGTCATGTAACAGTGTATACCCCCTTTTTTAAATTCATAGTGCAGGATCGTTGCTTTCTAAAAACATAATAATGATTATATATGTAAGTAGACAAAATGTTGTCCTCATATCCCAGCTTGTATAGAAGGAGAACTTATGTTTCTTTTCCTTGCCTTTGGAATTTAGAGTTGATCTTTGCATACTTTATATTCAGGAAAATGGATGGTTTGGAAGAAGTTTTGGGTCTGTATGCAACATCCCAACCTATTGCAGTTCTGCAGCAGAGTGATAACAGAGGTCAGCAAGGACGAGGATTTGCCACAAGAGGGCGTTCTGGTCAGGCGTGGAGCTCTGCTGGTGACCAACAGGTCAGGATCATATTACTAGCCCCATGGTACAAGCCATTCCCTGAGCACAACAAAATCATTGTATATATTAACATAGAAACAGACAGATGACATAGTGTCCCTCCAGACTTTATGTAATGAAAAGATTTGCTCTACAGCAGATCTGTCCTTTCAAAATCCACACTGATAACTTTTTCTGCATGTGGCAAAATTCTCTCACACAGAATATTTGATAACATTTTATAAGCTCTATGCTGAAGATATAATTCTCTACAGTTATTATATGTCATTAGGTATTCTTTCTTAGGTACTGGGCAGATGATGCTTTTGCTATAATCTTAGGTATCTCTTCTATCATCCATATTTGAAGAATGATATGTAGTTTTTAACCACTACTTTACCACCATATTTTAATATATTATTTACTTTTCGAGGTTTATTATTCTTCAGTTTTTCTGCTGCATTTTTAACCCCTTCCATTGTTTGTGGTGGCACTATTATTTCTTCCCCATAGCTGCATATCTGCATAGCACTGTCTGCACTTCACTCTGATTATGGGTGCTTGAATAGGTCTTGGAAGTACTCCTACTATCTCTTTAAGAGCTCTTACTTCTCACTAATAATATATACATCCTCTGTTTTGCATAGTGTTAGTCAAGGTTTACAGTCCTTCCAGATTTTATTCATTTCCTCATAAACTTCCTGGTCTGATTTTCGTTCATTCATATAATTCTGTTTCTTAAACATTATTAAGCTCATATTGCCTTTCTCTTTTATATACTCATATCTTTTCTTAATTTCTTTTTTTCTGCCTGATAATTTTCCATAGAGACTCTGGTGTAACTTCTCTGTTGCATCTTAATATATGGCTTATCCATTTTTTCAGTGTCATGTTGTACAAGCTGTATTTCCTAGCACTTGGGATGTCTTATTCTATTTATTGTTAATGAAGTCATGTGGCTTTGTCAATGCTCTTACATTTTCCTCCAATTTATTTTAATGCTCTCCTGTTTTCTCTGGTATTTTTAATTTTCATCAGTCATATTTAGCCACTTTACCCGTTTCATCTTTTTAATATTAGATATTCTGAAGACCTTCATTATATAATATCCTCCATTCTCATTTAAATACCAAGCAGGTGAGCACAATGTTAATGCTTTAAACTTATATTTGGGAGGTTATCAGTTTAAACTTCTTTGAAATACCGGTTATTTTAAGCGAGGTATTCTGTGGCTGTTCTGTATGTTCAAATGAAAACCAGGATAGGACATTGAAACAGTTCATGCCTGCCTCCCAACTTCTTGCTTATAATTCAGTCTCATCTGATATTATGTAATGTTTACAGTTGAAATATATAATGTAAGGATCAACAATCTCCATTTACTTGAACTCTTCTACATCAAAATGTTTTCTTAACCTCTTTCTGTTCAGACACAACAAATCTCAGGTCCTCCTAATACAGATCTATGTCATTATGTAGAAGAGAATTTTAAATTTTACTTCAGCAAACTATGAAAAGCTAAAATAATTAGAACAGCAGTAAATAATTTGTAGATTGATTTTAAGTTACAGATGATAACGAAATGAGTATTAAAATGCATTGTTTTGCTCTGTCCACAGGGTTTGAAGACAGATACATTTTATGACTGGTATCTCAGCAACAGGAAACGAACTAGGGATAATGATGTTACGTATGACTACTAGTGTAACTCTCTCCTCCACAGCAGACTCTTTGTGTTTCACTATGTCCATTCTGTTAAATAAAAAATACACAGGAAGAAAAAGTGTTTCTGTTCGGTTACTAATAGACACATCCAATGACACTGAATTTGCATTCTGCTGTCACTGTTGACTAAATAGCCCTTATATATGTTAGACATCCTCGCAAGTGTTGCTCTATTGCTTATGCAGTTCTATTTAATATGTCATAAACCATAGGTATAACAGTCAATCTATTTCCTGTTTTGTTTCATAGAATAGAAATATCTTGTAAGCACTTCTTGAAATAAAAACTATGTGAAATGTCAAAATTTTATTATAGCCTGATCATTATAGTGCCTCCAGGGTTTAGAATAAGTCTGTTACCTTTTATGGAATTACAACTGTGTTGTAGCATACAACAGCATAATGCATACTGTGTACTTGTGGTCTCAGTACAGTACTCATCATAATTAAAGAAAATGGTCAGTGCACAGGCGTACTAACACAGAAAAATCAATACTTCACATTCATTCACAATCTTTTGTAATATCCTGAGCTATGTGAATCATGGGACTTCGCATTGCTACTATATGTCAGATTGTTACTTTTAGTGAGTAAGTGTGTTTAAAGGCATAACAATATTTAGCAATAAAAATACTTTATGGGTACTGAGAGTGCAGAACCTCTGAGTGAATGCATAACTGTGAACCGGTTCCATTACTTTTCTACAGAAGAAATTTATTTGCATTACAGGAATAGAACGCATTAACATAGTTGGTTGAGGCACTATGCTACAAGCTGGAAGGTTGTGGGATCGAATCCCAATGAGGTGGATTTTTTCAATTTACCTAATCCTTCCAGCCTCACCATGGCCCTGGGATCGACTCAGCCTCTAACAGAAATGAGTACCAGGAATATTCTTGGGGATAAAGAGCGGCCAGCACATAAGGCTGACAACCTTACCGCCATCTCTGAGCCGACTGTCTAGAAAATGTGGCAACCTTAACATCTCACAACCCTATGGGCCTCCATGGCCTCTTACAAGGATACATTTACTTTTACTTTACAGGAATGAAGGGGGCACACAGTAGTGTAGTTGGTTGAGGCACTATGCTACAAGCTGGAAAATCATGGGTCACTGTTGGGTGGCAGCAAGGATGGTGATATGGTCACAGTCATACCAGTCAGAATTCATAGTTGCCCATCTGGTGGGTAGCTGATAATTGTGAGGCCATAAGGATTTTAATACAGTACAAGTGAAACCAATCAGTATTTGATACCTGTATCACCAGCTCTCTCCCATAAATTTCAGTTAGATATAATTTTTTTCATGTGAAAATAAAGTTTGTAAGATGTACACGCTAGTGGATATTTCAAAATGGAAGGGACATGACCCAAGAATGAGATTTTGCATAAAAGAGATATGAAATTTAGCTTTCTAAAGGAGTTAAAGTTAAGTCAGACATGGAGAATATTGGGCTGCTGAAGATTTTGCAATATTTCAACCTATTCTTTCTCAGCATGACAAATTGCCACTCAACCATCATCATGTTTGAATCCTATGTTAGACAAGATTGGAAAGGGTGTGCTCAACATCATAACAGCCAGTATTTCCCTATGGCATTTTTTTGTAATTCATTAAGCTTGCTTTTGGTCTGATGTCCGTTTACGGTCCTAAGTAGAATGCAGTTGATTCTGAGACGGTATGACTGAAAATTTGAACTGCCTAATATAAATGATCGTAGGTAACAGAGAGATGACTAATAGATATACCTTGAAGAAGCACATTTGTTTTTATTTTGAAAATAACACCAGTTCCTGTGCAGTAACAAGAAAGGGGCAACTACATGTATACCTCTGATACCCACTTCACATCTGGATGTTTTGCTGATTTTATTCATAAAAAAGAATTGATCATAGGACTTTGAGTAATTACAGATAAACAGGTAAGAGGTAATGTAAAGATTTCCTTATGATTAATTAATTAAACACTATGCTATGAAGACATATCAGGGAATAAAGGTAGAGCTCCACTGTTCATGACCTTTGCACTTGAAGGAGGTGAGTGATCAGATTCAAGCCCCAGCTGCTTTACCCCAGGAAAACTGCACCTAGTAACTATTGTTTAGGAGGTTGGGTGGGCCCCAGGGCTAGTCTGGATCCTATAGAGGTAAAAATCTTACCCCTGCTGGGAATCAAACCCTGGCTGTCCAGCCCGTAGCCTTTCACTATACCAACTGAGCTATCCTGCTAACAAATGTTTCAAAGATACCACAGTAATTCTACTGAGCAGTGGTAATGTATCTTGACTTGAATCTGTTAGGAAACTAGTTTGAATCTCACCCAAGGTACTGGCAATATCAATAGGTCCTTTTCTGTTTTCCTCAGTCTCTTCCAGGCTAGCTTAATCTTCAAACACATCTTCACATATTGGAAGATATTATTTAGTGCAGCCTTTATATCAAAATCAATTTAGTAGAAAAGTTTTATTTGTTTTCAGACATATAACTTTAATAAAAAAAGATCAAAGCAATATGATAGTTTTCTTACACTGTACAGTGAACTGCTGTAATCTGTAGCACAATTAAAAACTTATCAAATGCCAGTGTTGTAATTTGACTGTCTTCTAATAAGTGTGCCTCTTCTGCAGTTTTTATTGTGTAGATTAACTCATTATTTTAAATGATATAAGCAATCAACACAATATAAATTAATTAAAACCAAGTTCTGTGGTTTTAGTCTGCAAGCGAACTATACCAACTGAGTGACCAATATAAATTAATTACAGAACTTAATTATGTGTTACACAAAATTGCAACCCTTCAGGTCTTTCTTTCCTGCCTTCCTTCAACTGATGTGATATGGGGCATATAATTGGACTATCAAATCTGCCTGAAGCATAAACAAGTATGGTAGGTCTGATGTAATGTCTGTTGGTGCTAACTCCATGTACCTTTTGAAGTTTTCAACGTTTGTAGAAGTCTACTGCTATCTTATAAGTTTCAATCCTGAAGACAGGTAAGTAAGTCACTTCAAATGTTACAAGCTTTTTCATATATCAAATTTAGAAACCATGAAATCTAAAATCATGAGCTCTATCACCTACCATGGTGACTGATCTCATAACAAAGCCTTTGGCATTCCTCTCCACCTCTCCATTAGCACTCTTACATGTGTCCACTCTTTCTCTCTCCTTTTAGCCTCCTTTCCCATCTTTAAGAAAGAAAGTGGGCTTAACGAAACCACCATGCTGTTTGCATCCCACATTTTAGCTCTTGAACCAGGTTACCTGAAATCTTATTGAATGTTATGCAGTGTGAATGCACCTCAAGTTTGTACATTTTAATTTTCTACAATTGGTGGGGGTGACAACAGTGACACTTAATATAAGATCCTCAAATGAAGTCATAACAAACGGCTGACAAGGTATCCTATTCTGCAGAAGTTCAATCCAGCTAACATATCCATATCCTATTTCTCTTATGGTATACAGTTCAAAATTACAATCCATTTATACATAAGGCTCCCAAGTGATCTCTTTCCTAGAGGTTCTCAAATAAATTATATTAGAAAATGACCGACTGAAATAAAAAAAAAACCATGGCTTTAATCCACAAGCGAACTATACCGACCGATTGACTGTCGTTTGTCGGTGAAATTAGTGCCATCTTTAGTGGATAGAGGGTGTTGCATGGTCAGCACAACGGATCCCCCCAAAGCTGTTAATCTCGGTTTTCTAGACCGGAGCTCCTATTTCCTTAAAATAGCTCCTCAATTATCCTCACGAGGTTGAGTGGACCCCATTCCAGAACCACTATTTCTCAGAAAATCTGGTAGCACCGGACTGAAATCAACAGGAAATTGAAAATATTAATATAGGAATAACTTTTAATTCCAGAGAAAGTCATTCATTATTAAAATATATATGAATATAACTCAAAATGGAATTATTTTAAGAGCAGTAGTAACTGGAAATATAACTCATGCTACTGACGCTATTTCAGAACCACAAATGAGCAATGCCTCACTAAAATTAGGGAAATTAAGGAACCACCTGGAGAGTGCGTGCCTGTAACTGATTCTACATACTGAATTAATAAAATAATTTATGTTCAAAAAGTAATTAAGTCAACCATATCTGTGAAGTAAATTTTGATGGACAGGTTAAAACATTTCCAGGTTACACTCTACAGACTGTGAAGATAAAGAAATATATCTTCCAGTAAAGCTGTACATCATAGTTAACATACCCGTTGGCACAAAAAGATGAAAAATGAATAGCTCTATGCATTTGAAAGAAAATCATGCAAATTATGTTGAACATACCATGAATATCTGTATAAAAAGATCTATGCAGTCCTACTGATTTTTTACGCAGAAAAATATTTTCTACTTTGAATGTTAAAAACAGATATTTTTGTATACATATTACCTGCTTTTTGAAAATGTCAGATGATGCTGCAGTTGAATTCATCAAATTCACCTAAATGCCACAAAATTCTTCACATGACATTGCCATGTTTGGAACAAACCTGAATAGCTGAAAAACTATATAGAATCATTTCAGTCACTGAAAATACAATAAGGAACTGAACATATGTGGCTTCTCATAGAAGGCAGAGGACAAAGCTGTCCCTCTGCTTAATTAATTAAGCATCACATCATGAAGACATACAGTGGAACCTTGCTTAATGATCACCTCTCATAACAAGCAAAACAAATTGTAAAAAATGACTCGCTTAACGAGCGATGTTTCGCATAATGAGTGGGGAAGTCCCAAATTGTGCGCTTGCTACATCAGTCAGTGTTTAGCACTCGTTCTGCTAGTATCTTAGTGCCGCTTGTGATCACACATTTTTCCAGACTTGTGTTCAGACATATTATTTGTGATTTTTTTTTGTGGAAAGTTTAATAACCCTTGCAAAAATGTCCCCAAAGAAAAAGCCGCAAAAAGACAGCCATAAGAGAATAAAACTAAATGAAACATAAAATCATTGAAAAGCGAGAACCAGGTGTGAGCATGGCTGATCTAGCATGTACATACAATTGGTCTACATCAACGATTTGGAGTTGCATTGTGTTTCACAGCAAGAAGTTGTGGAGGAGAGTTTGTCAGAGGAGGAGGAGGAGGAGGAGGTAACAGTAAAGCAACAATCTTCTGGCGCAATAAGAGAAACGCTGNTTTTTTTTTCTGCATAGAAGAAAAGATGAAGATGATTCACGCTCCTTAACAATGTATACATAATTTTCTTTGAATAAACGCTATACATAAAATTTTTTGAGTATTTTTTTCGGCATGGAACACATTATAAAATTTGACATTAATTTATATGGGAAAAATTGTTTCGCTTAACGAGTGTTTCGCATTACGAGTAAGATTCTGGAACAAATTATGCTTGTTAAGCAAGGTTCCACTGTACTGGGGAGTAGAGGCATAGCTCCAACATTCTTGCCCTCACCACTAGATGGAGGTGAAAGGTCAGCTTCATGCCCCAGCTGTTCTACCTGTGTAAAAAGCCCATGGTGCTCATAGTATAGGAGGCTGGGTGAGCCCCAAAGTTGGTCTGGATGCTGTGAAGTAGAAAAAAAACCCTTGCCCCTATCAGGAATTGAACTGCAGCTGTCCAGCCCACAGCCCATTGCTATACTGACTGACCTGTTGCATGACATGATATTTGACCAGCCATTAGTAAATGGAAAAGAGAGGCTCACGCCATAATGAAAGAAAACAGGAGTGATATTCAACACTGATTTCAATAAAAAAAATATTGTTGAATTACAGATGAAACGCCCATTTTCACCTTAAGACAAAATCAGTTTTCCCTCTGAATTAAGACGTATGGGGGAGTGTGATTAAAGCTCCACCATTTTTAAACTTGGCACTAAATGCAGGTGAGTGGTCAGCTTCATGATCCTGCTGCTTTATCCCTGGGGAAAGAGTTCATGGTCTCCACTGTGCAAGAGACTGGGTGGGCTCAAGTTGGTCTGGATGCTTGGTGATGAGAATAATCTCTTGCCCTGCTGAAAAGCTAACCCCAGTTCCTTGGACATCTAGCCTGTAGCCCATTGCTATATCATCTGAGCTATCCTGGCTCCATTCTTTCTTTTTTAACATTCAAACTGAAAAATATTTTTCTGTAACAAATCAAACATACACACTTCTTTACGTTTCACAGCTTATTTTACAGACATGCATGGACACAATACATATTTCATTCAAATCTATATAACCAGTCACTTTTATTATTAAATAATTCATTCATTTAGTATTCCTGTTTATTTTACTTCAAGAATCCATTTAATCATAGATTTCAAGTACCTGTGGTTTTCCATTTGAATCCAGGTTTGCTAACTGCAGGATTTCATTTTATATATTAATTTTTGTGTACATGCAGACAATGACTTCCACAGTATGAGATCTGTATTTGACTGAAGATAGGGCTGCAAGGGCATCTGAAGCCAGTTCAATTATACTGCAGTGCAAGTTTTTGAGACATATATGTAGTTCTCACATTCAGAGAATGAATTTGCTCCTTGTTCAGTTTTCATGACCAACAGGAGCCAGAGACCCTAACCCCAATTTCTCATAAGGCCTTGCTCTTGCCAAACATGATTTTATATCTTTCAGGAAAGTAATCCCTGTGGTTAGTATTGGATGGCTGTAATATCACGGAGACTAATATCACATATGACACACCAAATAGAGCAAGCCTGAGATCAACAGCACATAGAGATAGTTATTCAACCTTAATCATTCAAAAGGGATTTTAAATGAATTAGTTCAGGACTGGTGATCATACTTCAACTCAGGGGTAAAAAATTAATGCTGTAACAATGGTATGCTGGATATGTGCCATTGCAATATGTGGTGCTCAGCTAGTAAAGATTAAAATGTTTTATGAACATCATCATCATTTATTTACATTCCATGAAGATGTGAAATCAAACAGCTGTTACCTGTGTATCTAGCGCCTACTTTGATTAGCCTGTTCGTTCCTTATTAGATCTCTCCAAAAGGATTTTAATTATCTGATTATATGAACTTCTGAGATGTTTGTTTTATGGGAAAGGAAGACTTTTCAAATCATGTTTCTACCTACTCTTTGTTTATCCACATCAAAATATTATCACCATTCACAAAACACAAACAATACAACGAAATAAAACTCTTTCCTCATTTCTGACCTAGTATGTACTTTCATGCTATGTAATGCCACAGAAGAGCCTCTCTCTCTCTCTCTGAAGTGCCACTTGAGCACAGCTGTTTGTTTGAGAACACTACTGTACACTGTCACCATAAAGGCTTCAAATCTATATTGGTTTGCATACATTAACACTTGACAAGGGTAACCCAACTGAAGTAAATTTGCAGCTTTAATAATAAGTTTTGAGTATAAAATTATCATTGTTTTTCCAAAAATCTAAGCAACATTGGCTTTTATATTTATTTATTCATTCATTTCCTTTATTTATTATATGACTGGTCATATGCCCATACTTCTGTTCAGTTTAAAATGGCAGAAAATGCTTTCAGATTTCTAACATAAATTTCTTCCATGCTGCAAGTCCCACTAGACAAGAGACCAAACTCTGAAGCTTTCCTTTATGTAATTCTCTTTGATCTGCTGTTATTTCACCTCTCTTTGGTATAAATATGCCTTTCAGCATTTTGTTCTTGGACAACACCAGCCACAAATTCAAGGATGGCAGCAAATGCAAGTGTTAGAGAAACAAACAAAACAACAAAGGTCTTCAGGTTATTAGGTTTTATGGAACATCAGTTACAAGAAACTACTGATCAAGACAACTAGGGCAGTGATGTAAAAAATGAAACAGTCCTAATTGATAGTAAAATTTATTTCAAACACTTGAAAGTTTGTTACAGTGTAGCAATTTATTCACAATTTAACAAGTCTTTTTAATCTTCCAATTTTAACCAAACTTACCACCGTTTTATACTGTCAGTAATATCTAATAACATAATTGAGTTAATATACTTTAAAAACATTTTAATTTAGGAAAATTTGTCAATTTATCTAATTGTGAAAGTGTTGCAGATACAATCAGCCATCATATAACCATAGTGCAAAATAAGTAACCTAACAGATGTATTTACAGTTTAGTGCTTATAATAATTAATCTTAAAATCTATGAGCATATAGATGTAACTAAAGATAGTGTAGTGTGCTTATAGTAATTAATCATAAAATATACGAGTATACAGACGTAACAAAGAGTATTGTGGACCATTATCAGTGACTCTTTGGATTTGGCCAACACACAAGCTACAATTACGATAAAAAGAAAAAAAAAAAGTTTTGTAATGTCACCATTTTCAGTAATAGTTTTCAAATGCCCTAAAGAAAGGATTACTCAGGCATTTGGAACCATGAAGGTAGTTAAGTTTCCATTTCAAGAGGAACCATTTCACTTCTCCTCACACCACTCATTCTCCTTGCGAACTTGCTCTTCTTCAGTAGCTGTGAAATCATTCTTTATGTTGAAAGTCTTTCGGATCTCCTCGGGTGTCTTTCCTTTGATCATGTTTGCTACTGTTTTGCATGTCACATCCAACAGACCTTTGATGTCCAGGTAGTTGGCAGCCTGTGAAGAGCAAGTAGAATTACAAGACCACTACAGCAGTAACACTAGACACATCTTGGGTCAACTGAGGTACTAAAGTATCCTGAGAGGGTCTCATGGGTTTCCTATGCAAATTTTGGAATAGAGCCTTTTAACAGGCTACAAATTTCTCCTTCCAAATCACATGTTGCTGAATAGCCTATACAACTGTGCCAGGAACATTCTGATAAGATTATGCACACCATAAGGATCCTGCTTATTTATACTGTGGAATAAGTTAGAGCTGAACACACACATGACACTGTCCATCTAAGGCTCCACAACACTCTGTTGGACCTTGACCACTTTTTCAGTTTCTTGGTCCTACATACAGTCAGTAGGACTGCTTGGATGAGGGATGAGCCCACCACGTGGCTGCTACCTACACACAGTACAACACAAACACAGAATAAATGCACACAGACACCCTTTCCTTGAATGGAATTCGAACCAATGTTCCCAGTGTTCAAGCTGGTGAAGATGATGCCTTAGAACGCACAGCCAAGACATAAGATACGTGCTACACTTAATTTTACGCAAATCACGAAATCCATATAATTACTGCAAACTGAGTATCACTGCTGAACATGTTACCGATATGTTGCTGCCAACTGAGTAAGGTTTACAAATCCATCAACAAATTCATAAGTGCATATAATCCCATTGNTCAACAAATTCATAATGTGTATGTATTAACAGTCTTCAAGTGCATATAATCCCATTTACCACCTCTACACTATATGTTCTAGCAGTATGCTGCCATCTTCAGGTGTACTGATCCGTCAACTATTTCACTGCTTGCCTTTATACGTCCATTTACAAATAATATTAAATTTGTATATGTCCTTATATAATAAGTTTATGTATTTAAAACTTGTTAAAACCTATTCTCATATGTCTTATTTTAAATTCGTGTGTATTATTAATCATCCACATGGTGGTCGTTCTTATGTTTCTAATGTGTGAACACATCCGACGATACAACGTACGCAGCCATAAGAGTAGAACACATCATAAGACATAATATACACAAAACATTAGAAACATAAGAATGACCCCCACGTGGATGATTAATAATACACACGAATTTAAAATATGATGTATGAGATAATAGGTTTTAACAAGTTGTAAATACATAAACTTTATTATTATATAAGGACATATGATACATGCCTCTGCTGTCTTTTGTTTTGGAACAAAAATCAATAAACAGCTTCCAAATGTATTCGGGGAGTTAATACAAAATTTTCACTGGATATATATTTTTATACTTCTCCAGAAAATTCAAAATTGGTGACAGGACAATTTGAATCATGTAAGCTTACTTTAATTTACATAGCTGTTTAGTATAGCAATAAAAAATGAAACAAATTTGCAAAAATAAAGGGGGGGGCAATATATATGAGAGGCTAAGGACTTCCACCAGTTGTCCTATTATAAAGTTGTTCAAATTTTGTTTGTACTCAGAGAGTTCTATCTCATGGTATACAATGCCATGTAGTCTGGTGAGTCAACTGATGTTTCAGCAGAACATATCACCTCCACCTTCAAGGTCAAAGAGAAAGCCAAGCAAGAAACCACCATGAAGGATTTTCTTTTGGGTCCTAAAGCCATGTAGCTCAAAGTTGGCAGTACTGTGATGCCTGCTTCTGCTGGTTTCTTGCTCAGCTTACTCTTACTCTGAAAATGAAATTCCTCTGAAATGCTGGGCTCTCTCAGCTACAAGGCATTATAATTATAACCCACAGGGCTGTGCAGTTCCTAGTCACTGCTGTGAGAACCTCAAATGCAGCATACATGTCCTGCAGGTCTGCACCAAAGCAAATAAGAACACTGTCACTGAACTTTATTGCTCCTCCCCAATGGTATCATGATTATCTGCACATCCACATGACTAACATAATATGTTTAACATACCAATATGAGTTCAAAGAGTGTTCCTTGATCAACCTTAAGGAAATCTGCATCCCAGCTGCTGATGTCATCTGTTCGCTTCTCCTTGTTCTCATCATCTTCTGGTGGGGGAGGGTCATCTTTGTGGTATGTAGCCCACTGAATAACTTTTTTCAAAATAGCAGAGTTTACATTGGGAAGTGGTACCACTTCTTCTTCATCCTCATCCATACCTACATTATGCATGAAGATAAACAGGCAAAATTCTTTACAGTGGACTGGTGAATGTCTCAACTGATGAAAATGATAGAACTGCAATTACTTACTGCCTGACACAACATGCTACCTGCATCAGGTACACAAGACTCCAATAATATGCCACGGAAGAACTAACAAAAATCAGTGGTAGGTATAAAAACATCAACATGAAACACATTAGGACTATAGGAAATAGCTAGTAGACACGTAAGCTGTATATGATTTGTTCATTCTGGTCCATCACACTAACAATATTACAAATGATAAAACAATTCTGTCCAATGTGACTGTTGAAGCTATTACTACTTCACTTCCTGTCACCGTAACATGTTTCGGTCCCTACAGACCATCATCAGAGGGAATATCAATACTTTTAGATACTACTATTACATTGGGTGTTTTGATTTTTAAAATACATAAATATACAATATTTGTAATATACACTTTATAAAAAATCCAAATTTCTTACAGCTACAGCAACTGTCCTTGATTCATTCGAACTTGTGCCGCCTGTCTTTCTTGGGACAGTAGTTCTTGTTGTCATCCTATATTTGTTCGTAGCGTGCTGTGTTTTTACTGTTAGGGTGCTAAGAAGTGAAGTAGTAAAAGCTTCAACAGTCACACTGGATGGAATTGTTTTATCATTTGTAAGCTGTATTTCTTGAGCTCTGTATAACTACCTCCAACAACCTGTGCTCTTTTTTGAGAAGCTACCAATTGTGCAGTTACTTGAGAATTTCCCAACATTTTATGGAACCTGAAGGTTCATACTCGCATTCACAAAAGCTCTCCACTAGTCCATATCCAAGTCAGATCAATATAGTCCATACTACCGCATCTTAACATTATCCTCACACCAATTTCTAAACTTCTGAGTGGTCTCATTATTTCTGGCTTTCCCACCAATATCCTATATGCATCCCTCACCTCCCCCATTCATGTTACAAGCCCTTCCAATTTCAGCCTGCTCAACTTCATGGCAAAGAATACAAGTTACGAGGTTCCTCATTACGACATTTTCTCAAACCTCCTGCCACTTCATCTCTCTTCAGTCCAAATATTCTCCTCAACACCCTTCTCTCAAACACCCTCAGCCTATGTTCCTCCCTTAATGTCATAGACTAAGTTTCACACCCATACAGAACCACAGGCAAAATTATAGTTTTGTATATTCTAACTGTTATGTTTCTAGACAGCAGATAAGAAGACAAAAGATTCTGGATTAAAATGGTAGCAAACATTACTCAAATTCAGTCTCCTCTTAATTTCCTCCTTAATCACGTTCTGATCTTATACTGCCATTCCCAAATATCTGAGCTGTGTCATATTTTCAAAGGATATACTGGCCATTCTTAGGTTGTGATCTCGCCCTGCAATCTAACAGTTTTCTCTGAATTTTCTTCTAAACCAAACTCCTTAATAACATTGCTTACAATTTGTGTTTTTCTTTATGGTATCTGTAATTTCCCAATAGAGTCGAATCATCAGTACAGAGCAGCAGCTGATTTGAACTATTTCAGTCCCAGGCAGAGCTCTATACTAGCAAATCCAAAAATACAGAAGTTGAATAAAACTGGTCATCTGAAGTAAAGAGAAATACTGAATTCTGTCACATGTTGAAGTCACTGAATAGTATTACTACATATGCATCCCATCTCATGTACATGGCATGATGGAGCAAGCCTGTTTCCTATGGATCAGTAGCCAATTCTATTGCACAACTTGATGCCATTCATGCAGTATGAGTACATTTCATAGTAAATGAGGCTGTCCTTTAGCACACACAGATCCTTCAGTATGCATGTGTCCAATTAGTGATGTAGTTCACTTAATTTGTATACAGCAAGAAGTACAGTAAGACAAGACCACTTGAAGTGAAGGTCAAGTGTGTATTTTCTCAAAACAGTGCCACCACATGAACTACAGCTCCTCACATATATACTGTGATTATGTTTCACAATCAGACCAGGAAGTGATCTGTGGTATAATGACAATGTTCACTGCTGATGTTGAAACATGGGACAAAATAGTGCTGGCTACTAGCACACTTCAAATATCGTTGTTGCACAAATGCCCCATACTGCTAACTTGTTCTTAATTATATATTTCTATAGTAACAAAAGGAGGGGGGGGAAGGCAATATAACTTTAGAGGTACTGTGAACAACAATTTCAATTGTACAAAATGGATGTACAATTCAGTCTTATCCTAAGGAACTTGAATTTATCACATTACACCAAATTCCAATCGGGTAAAACACTGCAATATGTTTAATATTGAGCTCACTATCGAAATTAGATAAACCACGTTTACTTAAAATGAATTATCTCTGGATTGGTACATAATTTTACACTGTCTTTATGTCCCAGATACTACTGCCGAATAAGTTCGCCTAAATTTGCGATACTTTGCGTTTCACCCTTACCTAAATCTTCCAACATGGTTTTGATGGTAACGGAACATTTGGCTATTTCCACATCCACTTCAAAAACCTCCCCATCTGAGCTCTGTAACTTAATGTTCGGCATCTGCAACAAAATCAGCTTTTAAAATAAAATGCTAATGCACCCGAATAAAAAACAAACTGATGTTCGATCTAAATTACGACATAACTTGTTTTAAAATAATTCTGAAATTCGTTGGCCAAACTCCATTGTTCCTCAAACGTCGGAAACCATTTTAAATACTACAATGCCATATGGACACCACAAGAAGTACAGTACCTCTTTTTACTATACCTTACCTTAAATCTGAAGAAATCTGCTTGAAATATTTCAAACCTACTACAACCGGAGAGGAAACAGAAAGTGAACTTCTATGCCTGTATCGCCTCTATATAGCCGATTTTGCCTGACCAGTTACCCAAGATGCCCAAGACACACCATAAAATTTCCAACAACGCTATTGGTTAATATGTCGAGAACAACATGACGTAATGTTGTGAATGGTTTACCACGGTGCTTTTGTGGTGTGAGTAATACAGGACTTTGTCGTTAGAGGCAGCAGGGTAAGTTTACTGATGAACCACGTTTGACGTAGAATATGGTGGTTGTTATTAGCGTTATTAGAATGTGATACAGAAGGTCGGATGGCCATTGCCTAGGCCTCTCTTGTATTTACATTTTTTCTTACAATTAAAAAAAAAGCTTGTGTGACGAAAGTTATTTAATTGCATTTACATTGATTCGTGTCACAATGTGAGAAAATAAATGACTAATGGAAACGGAAAATGTATCGCCATGCAAAATCAATATTGTCCCGATTTAGGGGTGCGTGTGACTATAGACGGAGTTCGGATTGGTGACTTGATTTATTGATCACTTACTACTCGTTACACCTATAGACAACTGACATACTAGTGTTTTAACACAGGAAGCATAACAGTCTCACTGAATTACATACAATGAAGTTTTCTCTTCACAGAAGCACTCTTGCAAATTAACAGTGGGTAACCCCAGTTGTCTTCGAGATAGCTCCTCGGCGCGGACGACACGGAAAACACCCCCTCCACTGTTATAGAGGCGTGATTACCGCAACGCTGCACAGCAACGGTCGCGGTGCGGACCACAGAAAATACCGTTCTTCCATTGTGGCTTGCGTGTATTTTGCGGGTGTCAGCTGAGACGTGACGCCGTACAGGTTTGTAAAGTAGGTTTTGGAGGAGAGTTGCAATGATATACATTTCATTCATAGCTTGACCCAACAGATCAACTGTTTTACATAATTTTATAATTATTGCGTGTTTGTGTATAGATATATATGGCGACTGTATAATTTTATTACAGCTATTTAAGCGTTTATAATAATCTTTACAGTATATGGTCCCAATAACTGGTCAATGACTGATAATTAATACAATTCAGTAGTTACATGTGAAAGAAAATATGTCCACAGTCTGAGGATATAGTTATAATCTCAAAATTTGTACCTATATGTTTCTCACATTACTTTACTGACTGTAAGGACAGAAATAAAAGTTTACCAGCACTCCATGACACAAAACTATGCTTCCAACACAGAAATCTTGGAATATATAGGAACAAAGAAATTTCTTATATTTGGGGATGAAATCAACAAAAAAACTACATTCATGAGGAAGTTATAAGCAGATTAAAGTCAGAGTACACTTAAAGATTAAAACATAGAGTAAAATAAAATTTAACTTGTTCTTCCATATCTTTTCTCTAAAGGAAGAACATAGGAATCTATTTGGACCAAATAGGAAATAAGATAATGATGGCGAAAATGACATGGTGAGCAGCTTTACATATGTCCTCTTCACAAATTCTGTTGGAGTGATCAAATCAAGGAGGGTGAGCTGGGTGGAACATGTAGAACTTGTGGAGATAAGGAATGCATACAAAATTTTAGTGGAAAAAGCCAAATGGAAGAAATTACTCAGGTGTCATAGACATAAATAAGAGGATGATATCAAAATGTAAGATTTGGAGTTTTTTCTACCCTGAAGATGAAGGCAGCACATTCCTCTGAAACACTGGTAAACTTCTACCAGATTGTATGGTAACACTTGCCTTTAGTATCAGAAAGGATTTTAAGGACATGGGTTATGGAAGGTGTGGACTGGATTCAACTGGCTCAGGATAGGTTCCAGTGACGAGATCTTGTGAACACAGTAATGAATCTTCAAATTCAGTAATGGCAGGGAATTTCATTGTCAGTTGAGGGACTGTTAGCTCTTCAAGTATGACTGTGTTTCATGGGATTAGTTAAACTAATCATATTGCACTGACAATTACGAGTATTATGTAAACACTGGCTTTCAATTATATGTCCTTACAGAAACTCACCTTGTAACTGAATTTTTTTGACAAAATTAACACATTTAAATTCTCATATTATAATTGATCGTCATATTCACATGTCAGGATGTCACAGGTTCAAGTCCTGATGAGGTCATTGGATTTTTTTCAATTAACCTAATCCTTCCAGCCGCACTATGGCCCTGGGGTCGACTCAGCCTCTAACAGAAATTAGCGCCAGGAATTAATTAAATAATTTTCCTGGGGAGTAAAGCGTGGCCGGTGTGTAAGGCTGACAACCTTATCACCATCTCTGAGCCGGTTGTCTAGATAATGTGAGACCCTCAACGTCTCACAACCGTATGGGCCTTCACGGCCTGGTACAGCGATAGCTTTACTTTTTTACTTGTATTTTAATTTCATTACTTTTGAATAATAATGCTTTCATTTTAATTACACAATATCCAAGCGGGTATGATGCAATGTGATGCAATCAACTCATGAGGTAGATGGTATATAGAGAGTTGCATAACATGACACAACATTTCATGAAGTTTTAAGAGCTGGAGAATTTCTCTGTCTTTGGGGATGCTTTGCCATATGGAACATTCTAGAAGGAATGGATGATGGTAATATGGCTGCATTTGTGGTGTGATTGGCTGAGGTTTGTGACCCGGGTATTCACTGTGGATTGATAGCCAATCAGACCAGTGCAGGCTGTGCATTGCATCACGGCAGTATTTTAGCATCACATCACATAACTGTGCAGAGCAAAAAGTCGCTTTGGAATCGCCAACCAAGCCAGACATAGGTCTGCATTTCTCTTCCAGAGGACCAGAACAAAGATGTTAGAGGGTTCACTCCATATGGAGGCTGAGTGTCATCACGCTGTTTTCTATGCACAACAGATATATACTGATGTGCCAAATAAATGTGACCAACACAGTTCACAGAGTGTAAATATATATATTAATAAAGTAATATCAGTCAATTAACGTGGGTGTTGAAAGTTCCTCCACCTGCCAGAAGAAGGCCCCTGCAAGATGCTGAGAAAAATTGAAAGCTCTCCACACACAAGTTAAAAGAAGAAAACTGTTAAAAGTGATTCCCAACATGGGGCTATACAACTAAAACAAAGGCTGTTAAAAATATGATGCACATGCAATGAGTGTACCTCTATGTGATTGAGAGTTGTGGGCATGAAGTATGGAGGAAGCCTGCAGAAGCCCTCAGAACACTGCACAGACAGACAACATTCCAAACATTTGGGATTGATAATATTTGTCAGTAGAACTACTGCTAATTTTGCTACAGATGGGTCCATGAACATAATATGGAATCCCCTTTTCATTTTGAGCCCCTATGCCATATTTTTTTAAGGAAAGACAGTCTTATGATTTCATGTCAGGGTGCTCCCCTAAGAACTTTAGTATCATTTGGTGGATTTCATGAAACTGGTATAAACAATGCGACACTAGATGCCATCCCTCCTTTCTGTGCCTTTCTATAACATGAGTATTACCAGTATGATGGTAACATGAACTTCTGAGGTTGCAGTGACACTAGTACCACTTAGTGTAAGGTCCTGAAATTTTGCATAATAAGACTTTTGTGAATTATATGGCTTTTTTCAAGAGATAATGTTTTTGTAAAATATAGTACATGAACATGATATCACAGTACATCCATATTTAACTTTAAGCTTGTGGGCATTAACTAAAGAACCACTGTAGTAAGAAGGGTGAAATTTTATATGGACACATATCATGAAGAACTCCACAATTTGTATATGTTAACAATAACAAACATGGTGAATGTTTGTGCTTATATCTGACAAATGTAACATAGTACCTGTACAGATAATTACTGCTAGTCTCACCATGTAGGCTGCAACATTTGAAAGGAAGAAAGTGTTGTAAGTTCGTCACTGAATTTCTTATTCTGTTTTATTGTATTATCATATTTTATGTCCTTTAACCATATTGAGTTCATGTAGTTTATTGTTTATTTATTTATTTTTTTGTTCTCAATTATAGAAAGATTTCTGGAGTTTTCTAAGGATTTCAGTTTACTAGCTTCAGTGTTTTATACTAAATGAAACACTGTTGCAAGTACATTTGCATATAGTTGAATAATGTGGGATTATATCAGGGTTTCTAAGTTGTTTGCTATTGCTGCAGTTCATATAATAATAATAGTAATAATAATAATAATAATACACCGATGATGGTCAATGGCAAGGAACCTGAATCCGACGTTTGATTCAAAGAGTAAGTATAAAGTGCTGTGCTATTCTGGAGTTGAAAGGCACAGCAAATTTGCTTTGCATTAGTCTGCATGTCCTAAAAGGGAGGGGGAGACAGGAAGTTGACATGCATTTAATCCTTCATTTGATCTGCATATTGCCTTCATTTTAGTGGCCTTTATTGCTGGATGGCTTATATCTGTAAGCATTTTTTACATAAAATGCATTAAATGAGTGTATAATGAGGAGACTGCATCAATCTGTATATATTTCATCTCCAAAACTACTGAATTGATTCTGACTGAATATGGTATGTCTTTGCTAAAATGTGCAAGATGAATTTAAGTTTGGACCAAATCAGTACATATCCATTATCTGTTATATAAAACTCAAATAAAATTTGACCAAATTTGTGAAAGGAAAAAAATGGATTGTACAGAAGAATTGGTACATAATATGCAATACAGAACATGTTATGGTATACTAATTTATTTAAAAAATTTTCATTATCAGTATTTAAACAAATACAAGGAAACAGATTTTATGTAGTGTAATATACATACAATACATGAAAATCAAATGAAATGAGGGATTAAAAATAAACAAGGAACAAATTTGGAAAATATGTCTTTGAACTGATGTAAATCTTTCCAGTGTTGTTTCTTATTACATGGTTTGAACACTTATTAAAATTATACCATACCCATTTATATACCTTGGTTTGTATCATGTAGACCACCAGAGTCAGAGCCTAAGTAGCAATCATGGTCCACCTATAGTCACATTTGATGTAAACTGCCATCTGTTCAATAATATTCCATGCCAGTATCTTTCAGAAAGAAGTATCTGCACCACTTCACACTGTATGAGATTCCTATTCACTTGACTGCACACCATTTGGCACTGTAATGGTCATTCTAGTGTTTGTTCCCAATGATTTTCCTATCTTATCTGCAATAGTTTGTATTGCTGGATTAATTAACTGTGAAACTTGAGTTTTACATTCTGTTGAAACAACTGAAACCTTACTCCTAGAATTATTATTGCTTTCAATATGGATTTTATTTGCACCATTTGTATCTTGTGGGCTACTGGTGTAGCCATGTGATGGCCTGGCATTGGAGATGTTTCTAATGGGATGTTGGCAGTTGACAGAGATTGTTACAGTGCCTTTTGCTGAAGCAGTATCTTTTGAAATTCCATTTTGCAGAGGAACCTGCAAAGAAAATCAATATTACTAACTGCATGGAGTAGTCATTCTTGAGAAGCTGATAGTCATTTGATAGGCACTCAGCTGATCGAGAAATGGAAGTCCAGGCGAAACAAAGTTGGAAGTTTTGCGGACTGCTGGTTCATGCTGTACAGTTTGCCTTTTTTTATCTCTCTCTCTTATGTATCTGTTAGTTACAGCAGATATTTCCTCAAACAAAGTTGCACTGAAAACTAAGATAAAAAAATTGTGTGAAGGAACAAGCATTTTTCCATTTTGAGGTGGGTTGTAACCACATGGTGCATGGAATGATATTATATAGAGATCATGGTCATTTTCATCCCAGGCAGTCCAGTCTTTATCATCATTGTGTTCATCATTGTTAACAACTACTACAACAGCCAGCACCACCACCACCACCACCACCACCACCATCATTATTACCACCTATATTTGCAATTGCCAGGCTATCAACTGAGTTAATACAACTGTCCCCCAAACCAGGCCCACATATTTTGGCATCAAGATCAATATGATCAAATATGTCACTGTCTGAATCCTGACTAAATTCACTGAAAAATCCAAATCATCATGCAGTTGTTCATGGATCTGTTTGCTGTTCAGTGCATGCCCACTGAATGACTCCACAGGGATAAAGCTACACTGAAAGGTATATTCAGACCATTTGAAAATCTATTATAAAATTCAAGAAAGTATTACAGTTTGTTAACACCACTGCAAAGAGGAAGGCTTGAATGATACACTGACATTGTTTGCGTCTCTCAGACTGACTCCAGATCATGTCTGTATCCATCTGTCAGACTTGTATATCACTATATCAGCAATCAGCAGAGCTCATTTCCGCTACATGAGTGCAGCACATAATCGAAAGCATAAAACAGTAATTTAGAAATGTAACATCTTTACATCATCTCCAGCTTGTAAAACGACCATTTTAAAAAATTACTTGTAACTATTTACAGACCCTGAATGTGTTCATGAAATATGAGACAAACATATTGTACCCTCTTGTTTGTATTAAACTTTGACATTACACTAATGTATATGTTTCTGCAATAGGTGAACATTAAGAGTATTTTTTTATTGCTTGTGGGGCGGGACTAAGTCCCTTGTACTGTGGCCACTTCTGGCCTATTGTACCAGCCCCAGATGATAGGTGAGGGTGATTGTGGAGCAATTGGTGGAATGAATATTGGCAGGGGAAACCGAAGTACTCAAAGAAAACCTGTCCCAGCGCCACTTTGTCCATCACAAATCCCACTTGACCAAACCCAGGATTGAACCTGGGCCGCTGTGGTGGGAAGCCAGCAATTAACTGCTTGAGCTTACACCCGTCCCCACACGCTTCATTTCCACGCGGTGTATGCCTCGACTAAATTCAGCGGAATGAGCCTTATATCCCAGGGGTACACGGGTGTTGGCTCGCTTACGTCTTTTTTTTTTTTTGGATGCGGGCTCGATCGGTTAACCCCCTAGCACAGGTTCCACATGAACACCCTCACTCCCTGGCCTCTACCCACTAACTAGCCCCTTACCCCAGCTGCTGCTTCCAGAAACCACGTTCTTAGCCATCTCTAACTTTCCACTGGGAGGGTTTCATGACCAAATACACGGACCCCTTCCGGTCTGCACACCTTCTAGAAGTTTCTTGAAGCTTCGATCCACAGGTCCTCCACCCCCACAGGCACGGACGAAAGAAGGTATACCTACTCCCCCTTGAATGCAATGGACTCACCAACCCCCCTTTCTGTCCCTCGCAACAAAAGGCCAATTCAGAGGACCATGATCCCTCCGGGGCATCTCATTTCTACAGCTAAACTTAACCGTTACTTACAAACAAATAAGACTTTCCGTGAAGGATGCGTACGGTTACAAGCTATGGTGTGGCCAACATTAAGAGTAAGTACAAGGATAAAAGAAAAAAAACTTTTGATAAGTAAACCAATCGCTTTCTGAGTCATTCAGTGAATTTAATCAATCAACCAATCTGTAAGAGTACAGTATATAATGCTGAATTGGGAGAGGTGTGGAAGAAAGCAGTCACAATCTGTTTTAAGGTACTGTCCTAGCATTCTCCAGGAAGGACTTTAAAGAACTATGATTATTAAGTAAGAATAGCTGATGTGTTTCCACACTATAATATTTACCTGTGAATCAGTTTGTTTCCTTAGATTTGATCTTGACAGTGTCTGAGCCAGCTCAGACTGCAGTTGGCAGGTGATATTGGAGCTGTCAACTGATGACACCGGCTTCTTGACATCAGTAACATTTGTTGAAAGGAAATCAAAACGTGTTGGAATTCTCCTCTCTACTCCTGATGGATATTCACCTATCGTTATGGAGACTGGCCGCTGCTTACCTGCCAGTTGCTCCTCTCTCCATGTTAATTGGTTGGTATCACTGAACAGAGATTGAAATGAGGCAAAGTGTAATTTGTATGGTGAAACACATCAATCACCATCAGACTCTATGAAGAACATTCTATATGTAAACAGTTCTGTGACATTATCTGTATAAACTGTATATTGCTAGACAGGTGCTGCAAACAAGCCTTCCTAAAAGTGAATGGAGTAATAGCCCTACTTATGCTTTTATATGACTGCAGCTGACAGATGTTAGAAAAAAAAAAACCAGAGACAAGATTGGAAATAAACAGACATGCATTTCCTCGAAGTGGTTACAGGATACAGAATGATGTTATAGATCATAAAATAATATAATGTAAATGTTACAGGACAACTGGAAATAATGTATGACTATGATAGGATCCTGCTACATAGAATACTTGTAGCTAGGATATTTGGAAAAATTCTCTGAAAACCAAATCCCAAAGATGATCTGTCAGTAAAAAATATGTACATGTCAGATACTTTAGGATTCTGCACTAGGTGATATCAATGTTGCTTCCACCTCAAAGGTTTACTTACTTACTCATGGAGTTGAGCCCTTCTGGAGGAGCTGCCAATTCTGCAGCTACTCAAGAATTTCCCAGCATTTTATGGAACCCAAAGGTTCATTACCGTGTTCACAAGAGCCCTCCACTGGTCCCTATCCTGAGCCAGATTTAGCCAATCCATACCATTCCATCCAATCTCTCTAAGATCCATTCTAATATTGTCCACCCACCTACGCCTTGGTCTTCCCAGTGGTATATTTCCTTCTGGCTTTCCCACCAATATGCTATACACATTCCTCGTCTCCCCCATTCGTGCTACATTATCTGCCCATGTCATCCTCCTTGACTTGATCATTCTAATTATACATGGAGAAGAGTACAAGTTATGAAGCTCCTCATTATGCAGTTTTCTCCAACCTCCTGTCACTTCATCTCTCTTCGGTCCAAATATTCTCCTCAACCCCTTGTTCTCAAACACCCTCAGTCTATGTTCCTCCCTTAATGTCAGAGACCAAGTTTCACACACATACAGAACCACAGGCAAAATTAGTTTTGTATGTTTTCAAAGGTTTGCAGTGATAAAATACTGGTGTTATGGAGGGTAGGAAATTATTCATAGAGCTGAGTAGTTGATCTCTGGTGGTATGCTGGCCACACCAAGTTACATAAAAATCCATAAATTAGTTCCAAAGTTATTTAGGGAACAGGCATATGACTGGATAAAGGAATATGATGAATCTATAAGCCTGTCTTTCTATATAAAATATATATAGAGATTAGCAGGATAAAAACAGTTATCAGTACTTCATACTATATAACTTGAATATTTAAAGGTGTTTTAACATCTAATGTGAACATGTTCATGGGTTACCATCAGTCAAAATTAGTAGTGCATTTATTTAATTTTAATACTGCAACTGGATGATAATAGTAAATTATTATACAGTCATCTCCCAGATATCCAGCATCTAAGCATCTGGAATTCTTATCTGGCAAAGAAAATTTACAAAAATAAATTTGCAATGTGCATTTCTTCACCTGCCATGTGGCAGTTCTCCCAATTACAACCAACAGTTCCACTCATCCTCCTCCATGGAGGTGCCATTATTACATTACATTGCATTCCATGGATCAAAAGTTAGTCAAAATGACTGTAGGATGTGGCATATGTCATATAAATACAAAACATAACTAGAGTCCCAATGGAGTTCTCACACAAGAGAAACCAAGAATACACAGTGACTACACACAAGGTTATTTAAAGATACATAAGTTATTTTCTAGACAATAGGTATTCATCAACAGAGTAGAATGAATGTGTATTTAAGTATCATTTCAGTGCTATTTTAAATTGTGCCTATTCATTCATAAGACATTTGAGATCGGATGGCAGGTTATTAAAAATTTTGATCCCAGCATAATATGCGCTTTTCTGAAAGCATGAGAGGTTAGCAATTGGTTTATGAAGACAGTGTTTGTTTATGGTAGAAGCTAATTGAATTTGTGACTATCTTACAGTATATCTGGAATCTTTCATCCGTCAATCTACTATGTTGCCTACAAAGACTTCAACACAAGAACTAAAGTGGAAGGGTGCTCCTTGACTTTGTATGATGTTTCTGTAAGAGTTTTTCTCATGCAACCAGCAGATTCATGTAGCCAGCACACCTTATTCCCCATACATCATACATGCTAAATAACAGAATCTGCTATATGAATTATTGTAACAACTGAGACGTCATCACTCTCCCCCCCCCACACACACACACACGTTCACACAAAATCTGACATTTTAATGTCCAGTATTAACAGGCTATTTCTTAAAGTTAATTCCATTTTAATAACATGATTAAAGTTAGTGACACATTGTGTTATAGAACAGTATGACCATAAAGGGTTCCTATCTTTTGGGATACAATGCCTTGTAGTAAGTTGAAAGTCAACTGACATTTTTGAAGACCATGTCAGCACCACCTTCAAAGCTGAAGAATAAGCCAAGCAAAAAAAAAAAAAAAAAAAAAAAAAAAAAAAAAAAAAAAGCAAAAAACAGCATGAGCTCTGCTTGTCACCTGCTTTCATGCTGGTTTCTTGCTTGGCTTATTCTTTTATCCTGAAGATGGAGGAGACATGTTCCTCAAAAATGTCAGTTGACTTTCAAATGACAACACCGTATTATATCCCAGAAGACATAATTCTTCATAACCACTGCTGTGAGAATCTCAAATCCTGTATAGTATGACCATACATCACATGGGCCAGTGCCGTTCACTAGGATTCTTTGAAGCAATGGAAGGTGTACACATACCCATTTTAATGGACATGATCCTATGCTTGGAAATTAAGATGCCAATATGGCAGAAATAAACGTAATCAAAACCACCAGATCTTATTATGTGACAATAAATATCCACATGGAACATGTTTGCCCCAAAGTGCATCGTGAAAGCTATATAAAATCTTGGCAGTTGATTGTATCTCATTTTTACCAATGATTATTTATTACACCATGAGCAAACTCAATATCAGAGCATTCTTGTTTAGTGTTTATTTAGCCACAAGAGTGCACCATAAGTGAAGGAATAAAAAGAAGAGGAAATGATGATGATGAAGAAGAAAAAGGAGGAGATGATGGTGATTCATTTTTGTTTTTACTATGTAGTTTTTACTAGGTGGGAAGAACTCACTACACCATAAAAGTTTACAAATTCCTAATTACACACATCTGAAAGGGATAACACAAGTTTATTTTGCTGAAGTAAAACACTTACCTTGAATTCTGTGCTTTTTTCTTGGTTCTTACTGGAACAAAGTATGTTTCAGGTGGCCTCGGTTTTGGTGACTGAGGATTTTTAAGCCTGAAAGACTCTATGGACTGCATTTCCACAGTGTCAGCATTTTTTGGAGTAGTTTGACTAGTAGGAGCAGTGTTTTTAGCTGTATTTGTTGCAGCGAGTCTGCTCTGGGGGTTGAGCATTGGTTTTATGCTTGTATTTATACACGTATATGAAGGTGAGTAGAGTTTTCCTTGATGAGCAGGGTTCTTGCTCCCATTACTGAGAGACCCAGCAGGAGAAGATACTGATGAAGATGAACTTGTGTCATAATCAGGTGTTGGACAGGATGGTGGCCTCCCATTTGCTGATGCCACTGATAAAGCTGGTGAAGATGTCTTCCAGGATGAACTTGAACTTTCTGATTCACTTGTTGGCATCTAAAGGAAGAAAAATGAAAACATCTTTAAGTTCAGTACATGGAGTCAAATTATTCCGTGTTACGTCTATAGGTGGATGCGCACTCTGAAGTATACAAAATATTAGACCAACTCCATAATTTGCTCCTGTAGCTATTGAATTAGCTTGTAAAAATAAACAGATGAAGTGAACTGAGATTGTGGGGTTAAAATCCTTCTTGGGATATGGATTTGCACGATTTTTAAGACTAAGAGTCAGCTTTTGTATCAACATTGTTACTCTACTTCAGAGATTCTCCATGGGCTGACTTGCTGTATAGATAAGAACTGCTTAAAAATCTTTGGATGCAATTGAGCGATGTAAGAAAAATCACTCTGAATGAGAGCAAGAGAGAGAATTATTAAACTGTTGTGAATATCAAGCCTTCAATACCTATAATATATATATATACCTGTAATAAAGGAAACTAACATGAGGATAGAAAGAGCTACACAGTGAGGAGCATTGTAGCTGTACTGTTCATGTAATATTGGTAGGGAGATTAGTTTAGAGAACTTGAGTGGGTAAGCCATGTAGCATAAATGGGGGTAATGAGAAATAAATTCACCATTTTTATTCAAATCTGAAGGTAATCCTGATATTTATTACTGAAAATTCACCACCTGCAGTCATTCCTTTATTTAAAATTTTCAGTTGGGAGTCCAGTCACAGGTGACAGGTTAATATTAAAAGTGATATTAGAGAAATTTATTTATTTATTTATTTACATTTATACATTCCGTTGATCCTTATGGTACAGCTGACCAGTGGATATGGATTTTATCCCAAGCTAATAGATTAAAATACGCAAATACAAAAACTACATACATACTTTTGTCATTAAGACAGTTAAAAGATTTATATTAATGTACAATGCATAAAATGATCAAAATTATAAAACAATAATTGATACAAAATACTTAGGTAATGATATAAAATTATAACATATCAGGGGTACAATTACCAATTTTAATTACATACATGGTTAAAGTATTCCTCTAAGGAATAAAAAGAATTTGAAAGAAAAAATCTTTTTAGCCTCAGTTTAAATAGTTTCACATCATTACTCATACTCTTGATTCTGGATGGCAGGTGGTTATAAGCCTTAATACCAAAATAATATGGTCCTTTCTGAAAGATTGTTAGGCGTGATGTGGGAAGGTGCAAATTTGTGGTATGTCTAGTATT